GTAAAATTTCAAATAATAATGTTAAAATCTTTCGGAAATGCACACTTACGGTAATGTACTGTTTGCTTGAATAAAGTAAGGTGGTAAATAATTAAATAAAAATTCTATGAAATTATTATAGTTATAAAATATTTAAATTCTCTATCTTTTAAATAATTCTTATTTGCATAACACCCCACTAAATTAATTTTATCTTGCAGCTAGCTGTAGAGAAACAAGGTACTGTCTTAACACATGCGCAAATAAGAAAATAAAAAAAATATAGGCTGACGTGTATCTCGATAGTTCCGTTTCACGATCCCGTTACATTTGTAGACGAGGAAGGGAACCACAAACGAAAGCTTCTTTTGATAATGAAAAACAAGAGAAGGGGAAAAAAGTAAGATTCTGTTCCATAGAACGTGAGTTACTAAAGTAAAAAACAGTTGCTTAGCTTATAAAAATTTCAGTTTATCGTTCCGTTATTAAATGTGTTTTAAAATATTATTTTTGGTTTTCTCAGCTAATATTACCTTATTATTATTGCGACAACTACAACAGCATTTGTAAGCGCAGTTTAAATTTGATACTTTTATACAAATGTCTTATGCTGTATTCGTTACGATTCTTATTTTAAAGTTACTATTATAGCAGTTTTTATTTTCTCTTATTAGGTTCATAAAACTATGCAAAAGTTTCTTTAGTAATGTCAGTCGTATTTATTAAAGCCACTAACTATATAACTGCATCCTTTGTCTCCTTTGTCTCATTATACTCAAACTTGCAATTGGTTTATTCCCTTACATAGAAGCATTTACTACAGCGTTTGGGGAATATTAAATAATCCAGCTGCGCTCTATTGATTTGCATTAATTTAGGATTTTTGTTAAACATAAATTGCTCATAAGTGTTTATGCATTATTTGTAAAACGTTAAATCTAGAGAACAATGTTTGTATCTAGGTATAAAGTAAGAAGTAAAACTCAATCCACAAAAGGTAAGTAAAACGATGGATAAAGTCTAAAACAAGAATTCTCGACCTTTTTTCTTGAATCGACATCTTTTTAAAAGAATTATTATCTTCACCGAATCCCTTACATTTTCCTGTATAATATACAACATACAACATAATCATAATACAAATATTTGTACATAAATAGCTTAAGGATAACACTTAGAACATAAACAAAAGTTTAAAAAAATTGTTTAGTAGATTTATTCTTTATTATTTTTATATTAGTATTATTATAAACTTGAAAAATATAAACAAGCTTTCAGAAACAAAATCGCGCATTCAATTTGCACAAAGTTTCGATTTTAAATAATGTGGTGGCTATGTTTGATGTATTGATGATGTTTTAATGTAGATTAAAACTGCTTAACTTAATTCTTAAATCCTCTCTTTCAAAAATATTCACTCTGTTTCCTGTTTTCTATGGTACATTATTGACCTGACTAATACCTGCTTCTACTAGGTAAGAAGAGGGAAAAATCAATAATATTGTTCGGTAACAACTTTTATTATGGAATATTTCTGTCAGTTGACTCTTAAATTCCGAAACTTAGAATACACAGGAGTTTTGAGTAAGACTTGTACTTGAACATTCTCCTTCAATGCGATCAACTCTTCTTGCTGCATAATTTTAAGATCAAATATAATCTTCCCCCCAAAAAACGAAGAACACCATGAAGAATGTGACTGTTTTTATTGAAATTAAATATGCCTAAACCTCCTGCACAGGTAATGTAATGATTAAATATTCAAGGCCATAAGCCTCATTAGTGGCTAGAAATTGCACACCAGATTGTACAAATCAGTAACTGGTGAACCCCTTCCGGGCGGAGATCTTATAAACATTAAGTTAAGAAATAGTTTTGTTTAGTTTATTATGGCAAAGGGCTATCTGACTAAAGTTAAAGAGTGATAAAGGTTCCTAATCTCTTTTGGGGTGGCCAAATATGGTGGCCTAGCATATGCTATACATGTTCAATTGGTGAAAATTTTGGTGACCTTTCTGGCCAAGGAAGATTATCAACAGCTCGGAGATAGTTCAGAGATACGCGTGCCCATAGGCCTAGCTAGCATTGTCCTTTTGGAAAATGACCGCATGATGGCATGTCATGAAGTGTAACGCAATGTCGGTCGTAACAGATAGTTTCCCACAGCATCACACCATTGAATGTCTGTGTGCATCTGTAAAACAAAGGCTGACTGAGATCGCGGGCCCTGGCCCCTCCACATACGAATGCGATAAATGAAGCAGGACTCACCGCTGAACACTGTCGATGCCATTCGGCTGCAAGGCTATGGTGATCGAAAACGGCACCATTGCAGACGATTCTATTTATGTTTTGGGGTTAAAAGGAGTTATCTTAACTAACGGAAGTTGTAAGCGCAACCCCGCCTCGGAAAAGTGCCGTGGGATGGTGCAAGGTGCCACGAGGGGTATGGAAGAGGTCGACAATGGAGACAGCGGGGATTCGTTGGGCAGTGGACAATGGAAGCAGTTTGGGCCAGTTACGCAGTCATCCGATTTTATTCCGCATTTGTGCACGTTCGCTTTTCACAGCTTTTATTCCGTCGATGAATACTTTACAGGTAACTTTTTCCATTACCTCTGCACAGACGCATCCGTATGGTACAGATTGCGACCTATAGCTTGGTTTATCAAAATCTGGGCGCAACCTGGCTTGCCTAGTGAACATAAATTCACTTTATAGCCAGAAATGGCTGCGCGCAAGTAAACATCAGAAGAACACAAAAGGAAAAAGGAGAGAAAATAAAGAAAACTAACACAAAACTGTAGCCTATCTCTAGGTATGACTAGCATGCTTTACATATCCCTACTATGCGACTACATTCGAAGTTGTCCAGTTGTTTACAAAATCTTCGATATGTCTAAATGGCATTAATGGCTGTGTTTCAAAGGACCTGCGACGCCGACAAAGAGAAAAGATAAACCGTCCGCAAATGTTATTTGTTTTATATGATGCTAATTGCGCAGTAGAAACCCGCGCTATGACCGAAGTTAATAATCATTGGCCTGGAAAATTTAACCATTTGCATAATTGGTAGGGAGGAATTTGTATACAAAATTCTGAGCTTATCAAACTATTTTTTGATAATGCTTCTTCTTCTTCTTCTTCCCCCCCCCCAAAGAGTGTGTATAGCAGTGATTCTACAAGCCATGCTGGTACATTTCTATGTCTTAAAAGCGAAAATTAAAATCTTTTTTGAAAAATTTACAAGCAGCTTGTATGTAACAATATAACTTCTTGCTTTTTTCGTATTTTTGGCTCCTTTTTTTTTGCGCTTCTGCACTTGCGATAAATGAACTTTTTATAATGCCCAATAATTTCCCTGCTTTAAAATTTCATCTATCCCCAGCCATCAGTACCCTAGCCATCAGTATCTCCAGCCATCAGAGATACATGGTCTAAGACATGTTAAACATCTCTATGCTGTCTTCGTGCTTGCTAACCACTTCCTTGTGCAACTAGATCGCCAGATTTCTTCCCCATAACATTTGAGAGATGATGAGAAGCCTCGAACCAGGACAAATGAAAGAACTCTATATCCGTATCCATTCGATCAATGGTGGATATAAGCAAAAATAAAAGTTGGGTATTTAAAAATAGCTCACTATAGGTTGATGAAGAGAAAAGGTGTACAAATGTTTATTTAGCGATTTATATTTTAAGGATACGTCTTTTATTTTGATAAAGAGGATTATAATTTCACAATTCATTAATCATTTAGAGGCCGATACTAAATAAGTTCATTGTGTTGTAATTTAAGATTGCAAAATGTATAACTCTATAATATTTTTTAAGTCCAAAAGGGACGTTAGTTCCTAATTGGATATTAGTCTCGAAACCACATTTTTCGTTGAATCACAATAAACCAAGGAATTTAGAATAAATGGCTTAAGCCTCCTCCGTATGCTCCATGCAATGAAAATGAAGCCATGAAACGTCATGGTATGACGTCACGACTCATCATGGCCGCTGCCATAGGAGAGCTTTTGGTTGGTTTTGTTTACATTCTAATCGATGTTATCTACATATTAGGTTTCATTATTGTAATTTTTATAAGTCTCCCGTTCTAATTTCAGTAGTTAACATAAATGATTTTCTACTTCGTACAAAGAAAAATCACAATGATTGCAAATAACTGTTTCAAATTCAATAAAATCTGGACACATATATGAAAATGTGTAAATGGTAACTATACGACATGGCAAAACCAGTGGAAGTTTCAAAATGAATTTTACTCAGTTATGTCTAAAGACACTTTTCGGAGCTTCCAGACGTTGATATTTGCCCTCAAAGTCAGTGTAATTTTATTTAAAAGTATGTTTCGCAGTCTTATCCATACGCTGAATCGTGATAAGTCGTAACGTCACGTTGTCTACATTTCCTTGGCTGCATTTTTGTGACGCCATACTTAGTCATCTATTCTAACCTCCTTGCTGTAAACGGCGTACCACTTTTCAGATTGTAGCCACCAAATATTATCGCCCTGTTTTATATTAAAGAAATTAAATAATGAAGAATCTGCATGAATGTATGTATTTTTCTCGAACTGTGAAAAAACAGCGATACCTAGAGCCAACAAGTTTTTAATAACGTAATCTTCCACCCAAATATGGACATCTGGAAGATCAAAATTTGAATTTCGAATCTGTTTTTGTATGTATTTCATATTTTTTTAAAATTAACGAATTTGTGATTAAGAAACTCAGCGATTTCAAACCGAGCAATGGCAGCATACTGTACGGAATAAAATATTTGTATCTCCAGCGCACGAGACTATGTATCGAAAATTCTAAAGGTATGCTGTTTTTAAATATTTTACCTCAGAAGGGTTGTTAAACCAAATGCTCTCGAAACGTGCATGTGAGCGTAAATGAAAAAAAAAGACCCTTTAGAGGTAATATAAAATCTGAAAATCTTTTTTAATCCATTTCATTTTTTCATTTTTTTTTTTTTTTTTTTTTTTTTTTTTTTTTTTTTTACAGAGGCTACGCATCTTGGTTACGCCTTACAGAGATAGCAAGAGTGATGCTTCTGAGGAAAAGTCTGCTCCTGTAGATGATGAAAACGGTGCTGTTGCTCTTTGACTCTAGAACTGCCAAACCTTATTCTCATCGTACCCATGATGATTTGACAGAAGTAGTTGTCTGAATGTTAAATAAAATTTATGTGTTACATCATTGATATATACACTTAAACTATTTTTTACATGACTAGAAGAGAAACACGCTAATGTGACAATCAAAATCGTAAAAACAACCTTGTATTTAGCGTTAGAATATTGAAACACTCAATCAATTTCGAGGGTAACTAAAGATCCCTCCTCACCAGGACAAAGAAATACCTAGAAAGAAGAAAATAAAGGAGAAGGAGTCTCAGAAACATGTGGTCCTTATCAGCACTGCACGTGGTTATAACTGGATTTTTAATCAGAGTTGCATTTAGCCGCTTACTTTTACTGAGCCAGGCTATCTGATCAAGCATAAAGGACAAGAAAAATTAGCGAAGTTACTTGTCCTTTATGCTCGATCAGATAGCCTGGCTCAGTAAAAGTAGGCGGCCAATGCAACTCTGATTAAAAATCCAGTTATAACCGCGTGCAGTGCTGATAAGGACCACATGTTTCTGAGACTCCTTCCCCTTTATTTTCTTCTTTCTAGGTATTTCTTTGTCCTGATGAGGAGGGACCTTTAGCTGCCCTCGAAATCGATTGAATGTTTCAATATACTTACGCTAAATACAAGGTTGTCTTTACGATTTTGATTATTTTTTACATGTTTAGACTGTTCGCGTGATACTAACTTACTGATGCAGAGACTAAGGAATTTCAGGGTAAAAATGTTCGAAATCTGATCAACTAACAATTTGAGCTTTGCCGCTTCCTAAAAATATGCACTTTCGGTACCATTTATATTCTTTACACATGACTGTAATTTGTCGTATTGAACAATGTGTTCCAATTTTATGTAGTGCAGTTTTAATGAGATCTGATTTTTTAAATTAAATTGTTTTTCAGGGATAGTGGTACAACAGTGCCCAAGCCCTTTTCTAATTGGATAATATATATATGTGCATATATATATATATATCAACCATACCATAAATCTGCTGTGTTTTATGTCACTCATTGGGAGTTAAAATATAAACTCAAATTTCCCTAAACTACATTGGTGTAATCTTCGATCTTCAAATTTGATGAATCAATTTTTGTTCTAACTAGCACTACAGTTTCAGAATTCAGAATGAATAGAACAATAAAATTTGTAGGAAAAAATATTGTAGACATTAATTAGAAAAACAGAATAAAGTTAACACAAATCTGCTTCCACTTTTGCTTTTAATAGGAATAACAGGTTAAGACTAAATTGTAATTATTTACAGTTTATAATTTCATTTCTATCATTTGATTTGGTAAATTTCATTTAATTAATATGCAACAGTGAAGAAGCCACTAACTACGAGAAACCAAACTGCCCACGTCAGGATATAACCAGGGGATTTGTTTACTTATGGCAGTCATGACAAAATCGGTACCTCAAGTGGGCCAATGAATACGATAATGTACGAGATTCGGGTCCTAAAAACTTCATATTTAATGATGTAGTTAATAAGTGACTAAATACATAAAATCTAAATGAACATTGCAGTGAAATTTAAGAAAATATAAAGAACAGAGTTTAGTTAGATGGATATCTATTACTCTTTTCCCGATACCTGTATTTTGTTTTGTACAGGCACCCTTTGGATATCTGGAAACATGCTGTTTGCACTAGGGCTTTTGAAAACAAAGGTAAGATGAATATCTCCACATGGTTCTTGCAAAAGACTTCTTTTCATAAGTGAGAAAAGTTGTTTACTCTGATATTTGCTTGCGAACATGAAACATCGTGCAAGGTAAAAATGTTTGGCTTACCAGGAGAGTGTAATATTTAGGGATACCCACTTCACTAAAGTTTTGTTTTAGTGTTCAGTCGCACTGAATTTCTGTTAATTCCCTATGTGAATAAGCTGCACTTTCTCATAGGTGTTGAAGAAGAAACGGAAAATAAGGAGAGCTCCTCATCGATACATAACAGAAACGTTTAAATTATTTTGATACACGTTTTATAGAAAACAAGCTCCCTTTAACTTGTTTTCCACTTAACAGTTGAGAAGTATGTCAGCTCTTTGCTTTTTAACTGTTTTTCCAGAGCAGTAACTTACGTCAGAATGCCTGAACCTAATCATTCATATCGCAATAATTATACCTTTCCCTTTGCAGTTCTGGCAAACTTCTCATAGCATTAACCATAAAAGAATGTTCTCCTAGCCACAAAGAATCTCTCAGTAAATCGATGACTTGAATTTTGATTTCTAGAAAGCGATGCATTTTATTTTCAAGGTTCCAGAAATTTTAGAGAAGTCTGGAGCAGGATAGCTAGCACATTTTTTGATCGATACATAACAGAAACGTTTAAATTATTTTGATACACGTTTTATAGAAAACAGGCTCCCTTTAACTTGTTTTCCACTTAACAGTTGAGAAGTATGTCAGCTCTTTGCTTTTTAACTGTTTTTCCAGAGCAGTAACTTACATCAGAATGCCTGAACCTAATCATTCATATCGCAATAATTATACCTTTCCCTTTGCAGTTCTGGCAAACTTCTCATACTATTAACCATAAAAGAATGTTCTCCTAGCCACAAAGAATCTCTCAGTAAATCGATGACTTGAATTTTGATTTCTAGAAAGCGATGCATTTAATTTCAAGGTTCCAGAAATTTTAGAGAACTCTGGAGCAGGATAGCTAGCACATTTTTTGTGGAATTAGAATTCTCAGAATATTCCCTTTCTAAATTTTCAAGAAAGCAAAATACTATCGCTGGTTTTTAGCTCAAGTTGATTATTTTGCTACCGGCTGCATAACACGTTCTACGTTAATCATTTTTGAAAATAACACTTATTGGTTTATATAATGTAGTAAGCGGGACGAAAATTAGGCCTTTCAGAAGGCTTACTTATTACTGTTATTATTGTTATTAGTATTATTACTATCTTCAGAAGGATTATTCTTTGCATGGGTGTGCATTTTGACGGGTTACTGAAAGGGCTTTACAAGTTCACAGAAATAAGGTTTATTGAGCTACGCAACTGATATCTGTCTCTGATCACATGCAATGGAATATGCAACAAAGCTTGACACTTTTATTTTCATTTGATGACTCAGTTCGGACACCAGTCCATTTACTCTTTCAGCGACCTCATACACTTATGGCGGGAAAATAAGGTGCCTAGAAATGCCTTTAACCAAACAGGACTTCCAAGTTCCCTTCTTAACCCGCAAATATTGTGCAGCGTGCACAATGTTTCCCCGGCTCTATGAATTTAGGTCTCTGTGGAGATCTCTCACGTAGACCCAGAACAGGCGGGGTATGGAGAGGTAAGAGAAAGCGTATGACCATTTATCACATGCTAATCAGCAGGCCATCTGATATACAGAAAACGTCCAGGTGTCCTAAGATGAGATAATACAGTAGAACAATTTAAAATATAAAGTACAGAATATACGTAGTTTCTCGAAGGTGAAAAATAATGCTACGGCAAGGTATTGTCTCAGATTCGAAAGAAAGTATCATCTTGGTTATGCAATAATATATTCTGGCATAAGCAATATTTTGTCAGTGATGTTATTCAAAGTCAAAATTAACAAACAGTGCACAGTCAAAGAAAATACAGATAAATATGGGCATGTGACCCATTAAAATTATCACACAAGTACATTCTGGGCACTGGGAATAGTTTATGAGGAGCTAGAAACGTTTGTAATCAAAAAAAATTAAATTTATCGTATAGGATAGGTGATCAGAAGTTTGGAGGTCTTCGATTGCCTGAGCTTTATCTGGAATTGTTGGTACAACATTAAGAGTTTTGAAGGAGTCATTTAAGTCTAGAAGGAGTGAAAAACTACTTACAAAATATTTACAGAATGCAGAACACGTAAATCTTACGTTTAAAAACAAAAATCCAGCGTTGAACACAAGTTAGATACAAAATTGGATCTGGGGAGAGACTGCATTCAGGCAGGAAACTGAAATCAGAAGGAAAAGGAAATTTTCTTAAAATGAAATAATTGATTAGTACAAAATAAGGTCCAAATGATAATTGTCCAGAAATTGGCTAACTTACCAACTTAATAATTGAACCGCACCTTATTGTGTTCACTTCAATGAATTGAAGTTTCTGAATATAAGCTTATCGTGGAATCTTTGGGAAGTCTGTAGAAGCCTGTGCAGAAGCCTTGGAGTCTAGCTGCGAGATCGCAGGTCTGTGCTGATGTTGCTCGAAGACTCACGATCCTGCTTCACTTGTTAGTAAGCATTTCTTATTATTCTAGGCATGAAACGATATTCTGACCAAACTCTGTCTTTACAAAACGCTTTCCGAATGAGAAATTCAGTAAACAACGTTTCGTTTATACAATGCTTCAGATGTCGTTGCTCTCTCCTGCCTCGTCTAAATGCGCTGAAAAACAAATTATTTGCAGATCCCAACCATTTCTTCCTTTCAGATGATTTTGATTTTCGTGATATCATTCCTTCCTGATGTTGCAATTTTAATGTCCAGCAGTGTATTACAGTTTTGTAGAAATCAAGATAATGGACGCCTGCAACACATAATTTCAAGGGATCAACGACTTCAAATAGTTGTCTGAGAAAAACAAAGTATTTTCGTAAAAAGGCGGTCTTAAGAAGTCTTTTAACACTGAAGTTGTCTATACACTTCGATATTCGGTGGAAGTACAATTTTTTTAATATTTTATGATTAGATTATACATATATATTTTTTACCTCTTCTGCGTGAACTCAGGGCTGCAGAAAAATAGGTCAAAAGGCAGAGTTAGCTCGCAGACCACGTTTTTCACATGCCTGCTTTAAGGTCACTAGTGAAGCTAATCCTTCTTCTCTTAACTTACATGCTTTGTCCTATTCAAAACTCCCTTATTTATTTATTCTGGGGAAAGGAGACGAAACAGTAGGAGAATAGGATAAATTTTAACATAAAGCTAAACGTTTTAGTTGAAATAACCCTTGCAAAAGGTCAAATCCTTTTCTCTATGGAAATTAAATTTCAGTTAATGTTATAATTACTTTATTGTCTTTAACAAACGGAATATTTTCATATTCCATGAACAGCATGTTACATT